ACGTGAACGTTCGTCAGGTCTATGATCAGCTTGACTCACACCACAACACGGTGCGCGACGCCATTGACAAGCACGAGGATGAAGTGTCAAGTCGAGTTCAAAGTGTCGACAAAAGACTCGAGCTACTACAAGAGATGGTGAACACAATTGACTTGACCCAACTGGCACCGTCTGCCTCAGCCAAGCCCGGCTCAGGTGATGCGGCAAGCGATGCGTTGGCTGAGGAGCGCCGAAAGCAGATCAAGGCAGAACGCGACCTGATTGAGGAGGTTCGAGCCCTGCTGATGCTGCAAACGGGCAAGAGCCGTGGAGCCGGACGAACGGGCAAGCAGGCTGGTGACGCCTCCTCCCGCAAAGCTGGTGCTGGATCGGGAGCGGGTCCAGGTAACGGCCCGCAGCTCACGGAAGAGCCTTTGCAGGCCGGTACTGATGCGGCTCTGGCGCGCTCGCAAAACGTGCTGGCTCTCCAACGTGAGGCTGCGGAGGCGGTTCTTCTTCAGAACCATGCGACAACGGACGAGCTTTCCAAGGAGGAGACGGCACAGTTGCGCGATGACCCCATGGCCGTTCTAGAAGCTCTGTTTGCCCGCGTGTCGGCTGCGTCAGTCGCAGACACCCCGTTGAATGATGCTGAGCAAGCCATGGTTTCACGCCTGGTTGAGGAGCAACTGGGCATGAACCATGCTCTTGGTGAAGACGACCCCGTCTATTTGGAGGCGCTGGCAGCAGCTGAAAGCATCGTGTACAACATGCGAGCGGAAGCTTCGGCTCATCAAGTTGAATTTTTGGAAGATCAAGGCGTGGCAGATGCACGAAGCCATGATTTGGAGAAGCGGGTAAGCCCCTGTCTTGTTGATGTGTCAAACTTCTTTGGTCGGGTGTGTGCCTTGTCCTATCGATCAGCCGAGCCTTGGGTTTTTCAAGCCCTTGCATCTGTGGCCGCTTGGTTTTCACGTCTATGCTTGTACATTTCCCGTGTGTTGGTGGTCGTGGTTGTGTGCCTTTGTCGGTGACAGACCCCCTTTCTTGCGGTTGCTTTTCGTTGGCTAACTGACTCTCATGGTATGGCGTGTGGTATTCAACGCAAACAGGCTTTGTTGGAGACTTTTGAGGGCCAAGTGAAGGAGCTGGCCGACGGCGATGATGGTCAGGCGCTTCAGCGTATTGCCAGCGTGAAGTCGGTTGTGAGCAAATATCAAGATTTGCGGCAGCAAGTGCGGGCTCGGCTGCAAGAAGCCTGCCGCCGCCGCAAGGAGGAAAAGCTGTCCGAGTTTATGGCAAAGGAAACGTTGATTGAGGAGGACATGATTGAGCAGGCCAACCTCGGCCAGCTTGGAAGTCAGCATCAGCGAGATTCAGCCCGTGCCAAGCTTAAAGCGCGAGCGCAACAACGAAAGCAGCGCAAACGTGCAGCTCTTGAAACTGAACTGGCTGCCGAGGAGAAGATGATGCTACAAGTTGCACACAAGCACTTGAGCGAGCTCGAAGCCCGTGAGCTTGAAGCAAAGACACAAGAGTACGTGAGCACCATGGCAGCCACTGCCAACGTTGGTGATGCACAGCAGATCATGGATGAATTTAAGCAAAAGCAAAAGTTGGCGCAGGAGCGTGTGAAGCAACGTCACGCCACAGCTCAAGCCGACATCAAGGCTCGCTTGCAAGAGCGCAAGCAGCGCCGCAAGAAAAACGTGGCCGATGCTGCGCAGGAGGACATGGATGCAGAGGTATTGTTGTTCCAGCCCACCCACCATGTGTGCTTTGACTTTTGGGTCGTCAACACTCTATTGGTTGTGCTTTTTTTTTTTTTTTTTTTGTTTTTTTTTTTTTTTTTTGTTTTTTTTGTTTTTTTTGTTTTTTTTTGTTTTCTTCTTCTTCTTCTTCCTTTTCCATCGTGCTCATCCCGGCCGTTGTTTGTTATTGATGCTTTTGTTGTTATTCTCGTCATTGTGGTGGTTGTGGTAGATGCTGCATTCTGCACAGGAGGATTCGGCACAGCTGCAGGCTCTCGAAACTTCCCAGCAGCAAATGGAGGAAGACATCAGAAAGCGTCACGCCGAGGAGCTTGCGGCGCTGGAACTGAGCTTGCAACAGGAAACTGACAAGCATCTCAATGACACCATGACGGCGGCAGAGGAAGCTCACGCTCTGGTACGTGCAAATGGTCGGTTGCTAAATCAAATTTAATCTTGCTGAGTCGCAGGTTCAGAGCACTCATGGTTCGGCTGCCTCGACTGCTGGCGACTGTCATTGATTCAGCGTCTGCGCGAGCTGCAAGCTCAACACGATGCTGAGCTGGCCTCACGGCCCGATCTCAGCCCAGAACAGATGGCCAAGCTTATGGACGAGCACCAACGGGACGTGCAACAGGTGCAGCAACGTTGGGAGCAAAACAAGACGAGCCAGCAGGACGACTTGAAACGACGATTGCAAGAGCGCTTGAGTCGCAAGCGTCAAGGCGTGCGCAAGAAACAGGCTTTGGAGCTGGAGAAGGAAAAGGTCGAACAACAGCGAGAAGCCGCTGCCCTCAAACACGAGCTGCTTCGGGATTCAGAGGCAGAAGCCCTGGCCAAGGCCGTGCAGAACTCGGCAGATGCCGATGCAGTCGAGGCCATCGTGAGTGAGATTTTGCACCGGCGCCATGCTCAAGAGCTGCGCGATCTTCGTGAACAAATTGCTATTGAAACCGGCATTGCAGTCGAGCAAGAGCAAATGGAATTGCAGCAAGATTTTGACGATCGCATGGAGCAGCTACAAGGTCTTCACGAGCAAGAGGTCCTTGCACTTGAACGCGATGCTGCCAACGCTTCACCAGCAGAAATGCAAACCCTGCGTTCTCAGTTGCGGGCCTTTCAAGAGGCTCAGGTACATGAATTGCAAAACGAACTCGAGTTGCGCCTATCCCAGTTGCCCGGACAGGTGCGAGCGGCCATGACCATCAAGGAGAATGACGCGCGCATTCGCCTCAAAGAGCGACAGTACCGCGAGTACATCAATGCGCTTCGAGACTTGGCCCCAGAAGTGGCTCAAACTTCGACACGAGCGGCGGAGAAGGCTGCTGAGTTGGATGAGTACCGCGAGATGCTCGAGAAGGAGCAGCACGAAGAGCAGGAGCGCTTGGCGCGGGAGCAAGCTGCTTTCCAGGAGGAGCAAGAGCAGCTGCTCAAGGTAGCCCTTGCAGATCTCGAGGCCGAGTGGCAAACTGAACAGGAGGAGTTTGAGCGCAAGCGTCGTGAGGAACAGGAAGAACGGCGCAAGCGACAGCAAGAGGATGCCGAGGCTCACCGCCGCCAGCGTCGAGCCCTGTTCGAGAAGCACACACAAGAGCGTGTGGGACGACCCGAAGATGCCCTCAACCGTTTGGAGAAGCAGCAAGAGCAACTGCACCGCATGTGGAATGCAGAGAAGAATCGCCAAGACAAGGACTTTCGCGAAAAGTACAATCAGCGCAAGCGCAACCTTCAACGCAAGCGACAGGCTCAAGCCTCCAAGGATAGCACCGCAGAAAAACCGTCAGCAGTGCAATCGGCACTTCAACGGTCACGCTCTAGTGCTCTTATCACGGTTGATGGTGCTGAGAAAAGCCCGGTCGCCTCGGGTGCCGCAGCTAGCGGGCAAGCCTCGAGTATGCATTCTAATACCGGTGGCTTGTTGCAGGTGCCCTCCACAGGTGGCGCTCCGGTGGTGACAACCGAAGACGACAATGCCATCACCGGCGCCACTCTTCGCTTGCACGTGCAACAGTCAACTCTCTTGACCCGTTTGCAGAAAGTGTCTGCCACTTTGTCGCACATGGAACGCCGCTCTGTGACTTCGGCAGATGCCGACCTGCCTTTCACCAAGGCAGCGCCTGTCGTGCCTCAAGGCACGCTTTCAGCTGCTGAGCTTGTGTGCTGGCGTTTGACCATGCTGGTTTTGGGCCTGGTCAAAGAAGGAGATTTCGACTTGATCATCACACAGGGCATGACGGAGGAGATGGTGGCAACTTGTCATAGCCACTTGTATACCCGCTCGTTCCGTGTGGAGGCAACACGTCTACTTGTCCGCCGTGAATGGATGGCAGAATATAGCACCTGCTTGCCGGCCCTGCTTCACATGGTGGCCCACTGCCTCTGCCGAGCTGCCGACGATACCCTTGAGTATCATGAAGCCCACGCCCGTGCCGTCAACGCGTGCCTCCAAGTCTTGCTACGCAACAGCATGTCGCCAGACAAGTTGTCGCGGCTTCAGGCCCAACTCAGCGAAGCCAAAGACGTGTCGGCTCGTGAGCAAATTCTGCGCGCAGAGCTAGTTTGAGCCGCCACGACCAAGCACTGCCCCGTTTGGTTTTTCCCTTCTTGAGGGCAAAGCATGCGGCAAATACATTGTACATAATCGGATTTGTAGAGATTATCCGGTGCATTTGTCGATCGACAGTAGTGGGAAAACATTTCCCGATACTCTCGCCCAGACCACGGTTGGGTTGTAGTTTACAGAAGACAGGGTTTGCGTTTGAAGTGTAGACTACTTTTTTTTTTGACTTTTGTTCAAATCGCAACTCTTGTCCTTATTTGAATTGAATTGAGAATCCATTCAACTTTGCAAAAGCTCGTTCGGGGTGTTCGCCTTGCATTTCACGACCACACTCCAAATCAGGTATCACAGGGAAGGCCCCAAAGTAACGTCTCGGTCCATATACGTCCAGCTTGCTGTGGAATAACTCTTGCTTGGTTGTTTAATTTTTTTACGCTGTGTTTGTTATTTCAAAACACACCAAATCTGTCTGCTTGGTCATCTTGTCGAAGATCATTGAGGGCTCATTATTGAAGAGAGGAACTGTTGCAGCTCACCACTTAGCTCAGCAGCGGTCTCGTCTTGAAATGTTCCCAGAACAAAACTTGTTCCGCCACCACAAAAAAAAGGGCGAAAACAAAACAAATAAAACAAAACTTTTGATTATTCGTGGAAATCAGAGTCAATTATAAATGAGCATCGGGGGAAGAGGGTACGAGGCTAATTATTTGTTAAAAGTCTAGTGCTAGGTCCTCATCATCGTCAAAGTCGGCGGTTGCGAGAGAGGGAAATGCGGTGTCGGAAGCATCTTCTTCATCATCATCATCGTTCAGCTCCATTTGCATCAATCGATCAAAGTCATGTTCCGGCTCGGCCGGAGTACTGTCAGAGGCGGGCTGTTGCAACGCCGATTCAGAAGCCGTGTTATCGTTGATGGAAGACGACACAGTTTGTGGTAGTGAGGTGCCGGGTGCAGCCGCAGGTGGTGCAGATATGGACGTCGACGTTGGGTGGGTGGTGGCAGTTGGTGGCACGCCATGGGTGCCAGTGGTGGAAGTGGGCACGCCCGTCAAGGGGGTGGGCATAGGAGGTGCGCCGCTGGCACGACTCATGCTCGGCGTAGCACCTCGGAAGGATGGGTGCGTATGCGGTGCGCTCATGGGTTGTCGTGCCATTTGAGCGGGGCGGGCATAAACCAGCTGGCCATTAGGCGTGCGGTAGGCTTGTGGCTGTTGATACTGGGAAACAAAGGGGTAGCGGGCATGCATGGCGTGTGCGCTACCATGGTATGCAGGTGATGTATGCGCTTGAGGCACTAGCCCACCGACTGGGGCTTGATAAGGATGCCCAGGTTGCCGTGGTACAAAATTGGATCCCATCATGTAGCCACCGGTCACGCCATACGCATATGTCCCGGCATCACGACCGAGCTGAGGTGCAGCACCTCCTTGTGCAACGATGCGCTTAGCTTCTGCCTGCTGACGGGCCTGTTGCTTTTGAGTTGCGCGCTCTCGAGAAAAGCCTAAACGCCGGCAAGGTGCAATCGGCATCAGTCTCGTGCGAAACCGTGGCTGCTTGGTACAGGATGTCAACGACCGCAGACGTACTTTTCTTGGCGTCTTCCATTTGTTCGCGCGTAAGTTGCTCGTCGTTTTGATCCTTGAGCAGATCCTGGTGCGAAAAAGGAGCTTTGGCCAGACATTCCTTGAAATTGCTGCAAATGGCAGCCATAATGGGGTCTGCACCACCGGTAGGGTCTGTGGCATCGATCTCCTCCACTGCCGGGGGAGCCTATGTACAGATGGGCTCTGGTGAGAAATGGTGTCACATGACCAAACAACCTCTCTTCTCGTCGTCCGCTCACTGCCTCTTACGCGATAGGTGTAAAATTCATCCAGCTGCTCTGTGGTAAACAGTCGTTCCGGATTCTCAGTATCAACGACTCGCTGTGACAGCCCGAGCTTGTGAATTTGGCGATTGTAAATGGTCTCTTCCATGGTGCCTGCGAAGCAAAAATAGAACAAGTTGGAATCAGACAAGCAAAACAGTAACGGAATCAAAAGCGAGACGACACATCAAGAAAATAACACGAAGACAAAGAAGAACAACAACGGGCCGTTTTCACATGGCATTCAAGAAGCAGCGGTTGCGTACCCGAGGCAATGAGACGATAGATATGGCAGTTGCGGCTTTGCCCATAGCGATAAACTCGACAAACAGCTTGCGAGTCATGCGTGGGATTCCAGCTTGCATCCAGGATGACAACGCGGTTGGCGGCTGTCAGGTTGATGCCCAGCGAACCGGCCCGGGTAGACAACAGGAAGAGGTGACAGTTGTCGTTGACGTCCGTGTCGTTAAAGTCCTCGATGAGCTTGGTTCGACTGGTGGCGTGCGTGCTGCCATCGAGGCGAAAATAATGCTTGTCCTTTTCCCACCTCTCGTTACTGTTGGGCACGTTCACGCGGGCCAGATACTGCTCTAGAAGGTCCAGTGCTGGGATGGACTGCGAGAAAATAAGCACCTTCTCCTGTAATTCCACAGCCTTGGGAACAATGCACTCCATCAAGAGTTTGAACTTGAATGCGTTCTCCGTGATAAAGGGTAAATACTTGTATTGCATAAACAGTCGTTCAGCCCAGCCCATTTCCTCCAAGTCGCGGCTTTTGATCGGCCAGGCCTGAAGCAGGGCCTCGAGAAGGTTACGATCCTCGGGTGTCAAGCTCTTCATCAGATGCTCCTCGTTCTGCTCGCGCTGGCGCTGCATGTCGTCAGATCTCTTCATGTGCTGCGCCCAATGCCAATCATTACCGATGAGAAGCAAGAACGACACAGGGTACAGCATTTGAGAGGAGCAAACCCATGGCTGGCCGCAATCGGAAGCGAGAAGACATACCGACTGTGATTGGGTGCATAATAAAAATGAAGAAAGGAAATATTGCCAACATGGCATGGTCGCACATAATCCATGAAGGTGTGAGCAGTGGTCGCTAGATCACAAGAGGCAATAAAACAGAGGTTTGGGCCTCAATCATCCACCCACGTACCGCAGACTCGCGTGCTTTGAGCATGGTCAAGAAAAGGGCATCTGGGTTGTTCCAGATGAGCGCAGCCGTGGTGTACATGTGAAAGAGTCGCAAGGACTGCGCTTGCCGGACGTATTGCATCAACTAGACATTTGACATTCGGTGAGGCAAGCGAGGAGAAGAAACAAAGCCGGGGGGCGGGGGAGGGAGAGGGAGGGTGTGTGAGAGAGAGAGAGAGCAGCAGAAAAAAAAAAAAAAGTGAGAAGTGCCAGCAGAGAGTGGTGCCAGCTCTCACCGTAAAGTACAAAAAGGCCTGCCACTTGCTCAATCGCACGCTGATGGTGTACTCGTTCTTCTGTGGCAGGCTTGCGCGCAAAACGGCGTCATCGCGACGCTGTACAAAGGGTGCTAGCAGTTGCTGTAGAACATAACTGCGGTATTTCATGAGCTTGATATCCTGAAAAATTCAACAAGGCACAGTCACCTGGTGAGCAGCAGTCAACCAAATAGCCAAAGCTTGACTGAATCCCCTCTGCGTAATCGCGCAGACCAAGACCGCACTTTGTCTGTACTATCGATACATTGACCGTTGTTGATGGGGTTGACAAACATGTTGCGAAAGTCATCTATCGAGCCAAGGTGATCGGGGCGAACAAAATCGACCATGCACCAATACTCTTCAAGATTGTTCTGCAGCGGCGAACTGCAAACGGCAACATTGACATCATCATGAGCTGGCACCGGCTTTGTTGCTCGTCAACCACAAGATGCCATCAGGTTGTATCTGACCCGGTGAGAACAACGCGGCGTGGGGTCTTGAAACGCTTGAGCAGTTGATTGATGGCCGTCTTATCATTCTTGATGCGATGGCCTTCATCACAAATGACCAAATCGGGCCCCGGGTCGAGCAAAGCATGAATCATTTCTTTGTCCTCGTCCACAGTCTGATCGGTTCATTCACAACAAAGGATGAGGATGAGGATGAGGATGAGGCAAACACGAAGACAGGCATATAAAGCTTGGTGCTTCAAGAGTGGTCGGGTACAGAACGCAGGTAGCGGTCATCGTCGACTCACGGGGGCGGCAGGCGCGCGAAAGTCGCTGCGTCGCTTTTTGACCTTGAACTCGTCGCCAACAAAAAACTTGCGCATCATCTCGTAGCCCACGAGCAGAACGCCGCCCTGATATTTGGGTAGCCGATTACATAAGCAGAGCAAACAATGCAAGCAGAACACTGTCAAACGCCCAGTTCAATCACGTACGGCTTTGCGCCAATCCATGACAATTTTGCGACGCTCAGCCATCTTGCGCGCATTGACGGGAAAGATATTAGGCATGGAGCTTCGCGTTAACCTGCACATCAAGGACAGGTTAGCGGGCGGTAGAAGGCTGATGGATAGCAGAAAACATGTTCAATGCACGATGCCTCGATGCACGTACCATTTGTGAAATTCGTTTTCCCAATTGCCAAGCGTGTTGACAGGTGTGATGATAATGGCGTACTTGCCCGGCGTAGCTCGCAGGAATACTTCGGTAAACGTCACGACCTGAAGTGTCTTTCCCAAACCCATGGCATGGGCCAGGATGCATCCAAAGGCTTTGTCGTCGCCTTGATATTCAAGGCGCCCCACAATGTTTTCCCACATGAACCGCACACCGCCAATCTACAGAAGCAAGTGTTGTGAGGTGAGCGCTGAGGAACCGCGGCGGCAAAGACCAGCGCTGCAAGAAAAGTTGGCAATGAAAGGGAAACTAAAGACGCGTGCAAAGCACTCGAGACCTGGTGGGGCTTGAGCAAGGCTGCAATTTCTGGGGCTAGGCGCACGACTTCCTCGTGCTCAGGCTTGTTGATGTTAACCTGGACACCCTGCAAATCACCTCGATTATAGCGGTCATCAAGATGCAATCGTTTCTTGTTGACGCGAAGCTGGCGATAGGTGGTGTTCACGTCCTCGTCCTCATCTGATTCGATAAGGATAGCTGGCTCTTTGGTGATGATCACATCCTCGTCCTCGTCGTCCTCAACAACCTCGGGAAGGGTGTAGGCATCTTCCAGCAAGGACGCGGCGCCGTCCTCCACCCCAAGATCTGAATCAAGATCCTTGAAGAGCTCATCCAAGAGATGGTCGGCACTATTATTGGCACCTTTGGCATCGCCCATGCGAATTTTAAGGGTCGGCGCCTTGGGAGTAGCACCGGGATCCACGTCACTCGGTTCTGTCTTGGTTTTGAGCTTGACACTGATGCGTTTGTCTGCGTTCTAGTGTAGTGCAAGACACCGGCGAAGGGATGAGAGCAGCAGGAGGGCTGAAACGGCAGGGCAGGGCAGAGCTGCGAAGAGCTCAATACTCACGGGTTCCGTCGAATCTTCATCCTCACTCGAGTTTGACTCACTGCTTGGTTGGTTATCAATATCCTGGAGCAAGCACAAAATACAGGTGCAATGGTTGATCAGTGCAAATGCGAATTTACCACATCAATCAGTGCAAACTAGGCTCCATGGAGCAATCGAGGAACACCATTTGGCTGCAGGCAACACGCAAGAAAAAAAAACCCCCCGGCCAATTCGTCTGAAGGGGAAAAAAAAAAAAAAAAAAAAAAAAAAAAAAAAAAAAAGCGCACGCGAGAGATGCAAGCACATACCCCAAGGTCAACTTGTCGACGGCGCTCCCGCCGTTGAGCAGCCTTCATTTCTGAAGAAAACCCTTTGATAGCCTTGATGGACTTGCGGCGTCTTTGTTTGCTGGCCAGAGGGTTACGGTGTTGACGCGAGCGCTCGTTGTTCGCTTCGAGCTGGGCCAGCGCCTGGTCCATGTTATCTCCCAACAAGTCTTCGAGGCTGCTGGCAGGCAGCTCTTCCTGCTTGACAGGGGCTGCTCGTGTTTTCTTGGCACGACCCTTTTGTTTGCTTTTATTGCGTTGTCTGGCAAACTCTTCTTCGACCTCGTCGTCGTCTTCATCGGCATCGTCATCATCATCATCATCGTCGTCGTCGTCGTCGTCGTCGTCGTCGTCGTCGTCGTCCTCATCGTCATTCTCGTCAACGTCCTCGTCATCGTCGTCGTCAACTTCAGAATAGTCCTCGTCGTTGTCAGGCCCATGACTGTGTTTCTTACGTGAGCGAGCGAGTGCAACTTGTTCGTTGTCTTCGTCCAAACGCACAAGGAGCTCATCTTCAGCTAGTTCCTCTTCGCTACCCTTTTCACGGTACTGATGACTTTTGGTGGTGTGGGCAGAATCGCGCTGAGCTTGTTTCTTGGCCTTTTTGGCCTGCGAGGGAGGGCTAGAGGCCGGTCGCTTGGGCATGGAGAGCTTGAGCTTGAGGGTGGGTGTGGCCGAGGCCATGGCGAGCAAATGAGAGCGCGCCTGTTGGCACGCAAACTGGCCGGTTGCTCTTATCAACCAATCAGAAAACCTGAAGTAGCTCCAGCAATCGTCGTCCTCCTGCCTCGATGACCATCACCTGCGGCGACCCGCTGGCAGTTCCGCGCACCCACTCAACGGGCTCGCGTCGCGCCAACACGGCCGCAGTCCGCAACGAAACACCCACAAACTAGCCGAGGCGAATGCATTCGCACGCGTTCTGCTTCAAACACGAGTATCACCAAGCGGATTCAATCGACACAACCCCGCTCTAATGCTACCGCCGCTGCCACTGCTATCACGACTGCCGCTGCCAAACTCTCGGTCCAAAACTCGCAACCGTACGCGCGCGCGCGAGAGAGAGAGAGAGAGAGAGAGAGAGAGAGAGAGAGAGAGAGAGAGAAATGAGCGCGACCGCGTGTGAAGCAACACACGCAGTGGATGATCGAAAAGTATTTCACACTACATTTGTAACGTCTATTTGATTCACAGCATGAATATATTTAGTATTTTATATAATTTTGGAATAGTCCCTTCAAGTATTTTCGCGTCGTTTTCAAACACAAAGCCGCCAAACACCCTTGGTTTTAAAAGTATTTTACTTAGTACGCTGTGCTCAAATTTTTCGGCGTTTGCGCTCGAAACTCTTTTTTCGCGCGGATCTCTCTCATTGCGCGACGGGACCAGAAGAGAAGACCGTGTGGACGTGTCCGTGGACGTGTTCATAGACGTGTTCATAGACGTGGACGTGAACGCAGACGTGCAGTTGTGCGTGTGCGTGTGGGGGTGAGAGGCAGGCGTTTTGCGTTGACATTATGAACACAGGCATGGAGCAGGATCAAAGGAGCAAGCGGTCAAAGCTGGCGCAACGACAGGAGGTCCCGGACTACGTGAAACGTGGCCTGCAAATGTTGATCGGCATCATGGCAACCGACTTGCTCTTGAACGTCCTACGTCTTCTCTTGATCGAGGATGATATCGCCATCAGCGCCATTGCCGGGTACGTTTTCAATCCCCACTTGCCAAATCGCTCCTTCAGCATACGCCCCCTCCCCCCTGACGCACGCGTGGTCTTTTCTTGCGTTTCTTCCGTCGTCGTTGCGATGCATCTTCTGCTAGCGTCCATATTGCCGCTGGGCTGATTTCGCTCAGCATAATCATCATCTTGGTCATCGACACGGTGCCCTGGCGTTCGGGTCGGCAATGGCAAGCCATTCGCCTTGTCTTGCCCGGGCTCTCTTCCAGTCTCGCACAAGCGGCCTCGGCCACCAGCGTCTTGATCATGGGCCAGGTAAAGTGGTCAACAGGATCTTGTGTCATTCTTGCTTGGCCGGCGTGGCGCGCAGTCATCCTTTTCAGTTGGCTCTTTCTCACCAAGGTCTCGGTGGGATGATGTTGGCTGGTGATGTAGCTGACTGGCTACTTTCAAGGGAACATGGATATTGCCTTCACCGTCCATCAAGGCAGTACGTGGAGCGTGTCTGCCAACTTGCGGGCCCAACATTCTTTCGGCTCTTGCCTGGCTCAATACGCTGCCCACTTGTTCCCGTCCATTAGTTTGTCTTGTCAACACGGCCTGTTTGTGGCACTGTTGCTTGCAGCTTGCACAACCCACGCTCCACCACATCACAGCCACTTAACAGCCCTGCAAAGGTCTGTACATGAAGAGAAATCTCGAGTCCCGCTCGACCAAGCGTGTCTCTCGATCATTTACGTTCCCCGGAAGCCGAGCTTCAATCAAGCAGAAAAAAAAAAAAAAATTCGCCTCTCCATTAATTTCAGGGAGATAGACTCAGCATTAACGGACCACAGACTTATTGGACACGCTCCACTTTGCCAGCACCAAGATAAACAAACACGCACATGCAGGCAAGGGAGCGACACCGGGCAGGGAGAAAAGCGCACGCAAAATGGAAACAAGCACAACGCACAACACAGGTCACGGGTAATACGTCAAAAAAGAAGGTAACAATTTCAGTCCAGCTCACAGTCCCGCATGAGTCTAGTTGATCGGGTCGGCTTGCCAAAGAACCAGAATTTAGGCGTAGCTGCGGCAAAATCGGGTTTGATGTCAGTGTTTAAAGCGCATGACAGCGGTGCAGCACTCCCAACCCGAGGAAAATGGTGCGCACAATCCCGAGCCGCCTTCTGGTTCACAAAGCACAAGCAACTGACCGAACTTCATATGACCCGCTGCTACTGATGTAGCGCACCCACTTGGTCACTTCTGTATCTTCATAGCTGCAAGCCAAAACCCCAGAGCGCAAGCGTGCATTGACATGAGGGCCGCACGAGCATGACATGATGCAAAGCCGGATTGACGATGGCGGGGCGGAAGACGAACCCGAGCTTGCGCTCCATGATCTTCAGATACTTGACCTCCAAGCCAGAGGCAGAGAAAGGCACCTGAGTGGTCAAGACAGCCAAGACGAGACCGTTAACGTGGGTCATTCAACCTTTGTCTTAGCACAAGTGCGCGAGGGGGAGTGACACACCTCAAACTTGACAGAGACGGGACTCTTGGTCCATTTCTTCTTATCCGAGACGTTGAGCAGTTCAAGTTCTGCGGTGAACTGAGCCGTGCGCCCACCTGCAAAGCGCTTCATTCTAAAGCCACGTCAAGCAAGTTTATCATCCCACCACGACCATGCACACATGCGTGAGGCAAAGGTCTCGTGGCCCAGCGCATGTGCTCCCGTTTTGGCAAGCGCACAAGTAAAGCCGGACAGGTTGATGACGTACTTCCAGACAACGGCGTTCTCGCCGGGCTTGTACTTTGCTTTGCCACGGTCAGCATGCACGTTGACCTTGGAGGTGGTAGTCGGCACGGGGATGCGAACCTCGACCTTTTGTCCGAACAAGCTGGGGTCAAAGTCGGCCTGTACGTGCACGAACCAGGGGGCAAAAGTCATACGCATGAGATTTCAAGAGGATAAGTGTGGAGGGAGGGGGGGGGGATTGGATTGGGACACGAGTCAGCTTCGTTCTGGGCAGCGACAGACCTTGATGTTGACGGTAATGTCAATGCGGTTTCCTTGTTCCTGGACCAGCGGGGTCACACGGAAGGGCAACTTGATGTCTTGCGTGGTACGGTACTTCATGAGCTCAAACTCGCCATCCGGAGGAATGAAGGAGATGCTGCGGTCCATGTCAAACTTGCCCAGACGCACGCACTGGTGGAAGGTCAAGTCATCAATGGCGATGGGGGCCTTGCGGTTGCGCTTCTTCTTCTGCGCTGCCCCGGCTCCTGCAGCGGCACGCTGAGCGCCGTCCTTGTTGACGATTTTGTCATTGATGCCCAGCTTGCATTCGGGCATGCCGGAGAGGTAGCACTTCATGCGAATTGAGCCGGCCACGTGTGCACTCAAGGGCTGACCCTGGGGGCTCATGAGCAGGGAGACAGACTCGAGCACGTCGAGGTAGAGCTCGTGCCGTCTGTACTTGATGCCATCACGGCGCCAACCAATCTGGCCCGTCACTTGGCTGGTGATTTTTGTTTGCTCTTCCCGTGAAGCGTTGGCATTGAGGCCCTGCTGTGTGATGAAAAGTTTCAGCGAGTCGGGATCCGTGCTCTGGGGGTAGCCATAGTCGAGAATTTCTATCAACACGCCAGCGAGCAAGAGGGACCAGGGGGAAGGAGGAATAGAATGAGGGAGGCACCAATACAATGACCGGCAATGGTCGAGGGAAGTCGAGGGAAGTCAAGGGAGGTGTGTGGGCAGATAAGAAGAGAAGCCAAAGCAACCCCGTTTCGCTCAAAAACATGGCTGAGGAAGCACGGACCGTCCAAAAGTTCGTAAATAAGGGAGAAGTTGTTGCGAACGTTGACATCAGAGAACTGGGCAAAGTAGGCCTCCATCAACTGGACCACCTTGTTCAAAAACTCAAAGACAAGGGCTGCGTTGGCATTCTGGCCAGCCAGTCAAGTAAGACGTGTAAGATGAGGTTTGGCAAGAGCAAGAGCAAGAGCAAGAGCAAGAGCAAGAGCAAGAGCAAGAGCAAGAGCAAGAGCAAGAGCAAGAGCAATAAACCTTTGCAAAAGGGACAAAGAGCGACAAGGGTGTGTCCACTTACGAGGCGTGTTACGGCTACAAGCCACATGTTGCCACGCTTCAAATGAAAGTAAGATGCACTGCAGGATGGTGGCGAGGCACAAAGGTCAGCACGGCTGGGCAAGATGCTCAGGAGAAGAGTGCGCGTTGATCGTGGGCGGCGCGAACTTGCCGGCCAATGTTAATGACGGGAGAGCGGACGCTGTGGCGCGCATGAATGACGTTGGCACGAAAAGCATCCACGACCGAGCGACTGCAGCACAGATGTAACAGGCAATGAGGTCATTTGATCCTTGGGCATCTCGTTGCTCAGCAAGTGGACGCAGGAGGCGGGGGCCAGGCGTACGTAATGTCATCGCGGTAGGTGCGTGAGATCAGGCAATCGCCTTTGTGATTGTACAGAAACACACCGCTGATCATGCTGGCGGTGCCGGTCTGAGACGAAAGCATATGCCAGATGAGCACAAAGAAAGGTCAACTGGTATGGCAACATGGCTCCGCCGCGGGACCGCGAAGGGGGAAAAAAAAAAGCTGCTACAGTGGGCGACTCACATTGGTGCAAGGGGTCGCTTGGGGCAACTCGTGGCACTTGCAGACAAATGTGTGCTGCTGCATAAGAAGGCACGCGCCAGAAGAATGAGAACAACAGCGATGTCCAGGTTCAGAGCGCCGGTGCGCCAAGGCGATGCGGATGCGCCTGTCGAGGCAAGGAAAAGCGTCCAGGGGACGCGTTCGCACTGACAAGACGACAAAGAGAGCACGAGATCAACTCACAGCGGTCACCGTATTAGACCTATCCAACACGTCAACGTGTTCGTAACAGGGACGTCTTGCCCAAGCGCTGTGTTCCACTGGCACACAGGGAGGGAACGGGGGCGCGCTGCCGTTTTCCTGGAGGCGCGCGCAGTGTTGAGAACACACACACACAACAGAAAAAAAACACAAAAAAAAAAGAAGAGCCAAAGTGGGGGTCAGGTTGTGTAGTATCCGGTGGTTTTGACCCCAGTTCTTCTGGTCGACAACTTTAAGCGGGATGGGAATTCACTGCTTGTTGTGGTTGGCTGTTGTTGATGTTGCAAAACACTGTTGCTCTCCTCAGTTTTTGGTTTTGGCTCACTCGCTCGTGCTCTCTGGCTGTTTTCCCACTTGCAGCGTCATCTCTGAGCACTTCTTTACCCACTCAACATTCTCTGGTTATACCATATAATTTGCCCTCAAACATTTGCAATTCCCCTCATCATCTCTTGCTGTATAATCCGCTCGCGCCCTCTCTCTCCCCCCCAACTCGCTCTCTCTCTCTCGCTCTCTCTCTGCTTTCATTTGTGTCGCAAGCAGAAGCAAGAGCGAGCGCGCCAGTCAGTCGTTGTCGCCGCCGACAACAAGTAAAATTTTTTTTTCGGGGCAAATTCACAATCGTGGCAGTGCTTGCTGGCCGGGGACGGCACGTTGGAACTGCGCGCGTTTTAGACGGTGGAGTCAAGCCCGGTGACAAGGTGCGTGGGGGTGATGCATAAGCAGGGGGGAGTGCGAGGTTTGAAATTCATGGTCCTAATCCCGATCAATTCATGTCCATCATCGCACGCAAGCACTTACCTTTTGCTTTGATTGATCATTTAGCTCGGGCTGGCAATCGCAGCGCGTTGTGCGGCAGGGCCAGGTTCACCGGCACCGTCCGCCATGGCCGTTAGCAACCTGCGCGCCATGTTTGAAGGGCGCAGCATGACCGTGTCTTCACCGGCTGATACCGCGGCCTTGCGGGCTGCATCGCGAGCAGCCCGTGAACGCCGGCGACCCGAACCCGCGCCTGCTGAGGACGCAGCATTAAAAGCAGCAGATGACGTCAAACCCACCCCTCAACCCAAGACCATCCCGGCAGCAAAGCCCGCCCCTGCTCCCGCCGCATCACAGAGCTCACCTTTGGTTGAAGCTCAGGCAGAGGCCAAGAGTGCGACCAAGCGGGAAGCCGAAGAGGTCACCAAGGCCTCGCCTGCCGCCACCGACGATGGGACCGCATCTGAAGGTCCCACTACAAAAGCGCCCAAGCCGCGACCCAAGCCGCCAAGCTCTAGCTTGGCCCAGCGGGCTGCGGCCTTTCAAAACGCCAACCACAACGTCGGGGGCGCGCCAGCGCTCAAGCCCAAGCCCATGGCCAAGCCGGCTCGTAAACTGCCCCAGGTCACCCCTCGACCACCGGCTGCTACAGCCTCATCAACTACAACTGAGTCACCCAGCCCTACGCCCCGCCCCCGCGTTGAGGGTACCAAGCCGACGCCTGCCGTGCGCCCGCGCGCCACAACACTGGCCAACTCGGATGTGCCTCGCAAGGCCTCGACCAGCAGCAACAGCTCGGGTGGCTCGATTGCGGCCCGCCTCGCGGCGCTTCGGGTAAGCTTCCTGCCGCCATTTTTTGCTTCTTTTAAATCCTTGCCTATTCTGCTTTTGTTCCTCCCTAGCCGTCCAGAATCGACCTTCTGCACCTCATTTTCTTGTTTTGGTGCACTGGGCGTTTTTCCCTCCTTCATTGGCTCATGACGCACGCACAGGCGCAAGGACCGGTGCTGCTACCTGGGCTTGGGCGGCCACCACCGGCCCGAAGCGCCTCAAATACTTCACTGGAAGTTGCCACGGCCAATGCCAACGCTCCAGCACCGTCATCTGCCAACACCGCCGCAAGCCGGCCGCATGCGCGCAGTGCCACCCTGGCTGTGAGTGATGCCAAGTTTATGGCACCTCGCCGAAGTACCTCGGATACCAAATTGTTGGTGCAGCGGGTGGAAATTGCCAACGCTGACGCAGACTTTAATCAACTGCCCTCCCACGAGCTTTTGGGCACCAGCATCGGTACGCTAGCCTCGTCTCCCTTTTGCCCTGCTCGCGAGCGATTCTCGCATCAGGTTGCGTTGTACGCCAGCGGCTCCTTGTTGAGTTGGTGTGAACTAGCTTGACCTTACGGCTGCTGCCCATATTGATTTTTTCATGAACCATTCGATCCCTTTGTTACTCATCTGGCAGGGCGGTTTCGTGCTCGGCTGGGTTCGGTGGGGCGTAAGCCCCCGACTCGGAAGCACGCCCAGGCTCGCGCCATGGCTGTGAGCGCCCAACGCTCGCCGCCAACGACCGGCGCCAAGAGCCCCTCGCGCGCCAGCTCTGGAACCGCTGATTCCGACTCGACTCAGGATGAGGTAGCAGATGCACCCAACCTGGTTGTGGTGGAAGAGGAGGAGCCTGTTGAAGAGGAGTCGGTGTCGGACAAGCCCCCGGCGGATGCAGACCCCGACACGGCAACTGAAATTCCCGAAGAGGTGGTCGAGTCGGAGGCAGCCGAAGAAGTGGAGGAGGAAGTCTCGGTCGACGACGACGAGGAGGGCCAAGGTCCATCTGAGGCTGATACCGATACGAAGGACGCCGAGGGCCAAGGTCCATCTGAGGCTGATACCGATACGAAGGACGCCGAGGAAGAGGCCGAGACCGAGGCCGCAGAACAGCTCGAGCCCGCAGCAGATGCCGACGAAGGTTCCGCCGACAGCGATTCGGCCGAGAGCCCAGCACTCGATACCACCATGCAATCCTTGGAGCCCGCCGACGGCGAGACCTCGGTCCTTGATACCAGCAATGCCTGAGCGTGGGCGGGAGCTAAAGGCTATTTTCTGCTTGAGTGTAGCGCATCTCCTCTTTTTCTTGATATCGCACTCCCACTTTCCTGCTGCGTCTTAACGACGTGAGGCACGACATGGGCCGAGCCCGATCGTCGTGGCGCCTCCAGAGCGAGGCCTTGCCTCAAGTGGTCCTGTTTTTTGTTGTTGTTGTTTTTGTTAGTCGTGTTTCTTCTTGTGTGTGTGTGTGTGTGTGTGTGTGTGTGTGTGTGTGTGTGTGTGTGTGTGTGTGTGTGTGTGTGTCAGCGGGGGTTCGCGCGACGAGCCCCTCTGTTTCCCCGTGTGCTTGAGTGTTCCATGCCTATTCTGGCACAGCTGCTCGCCTCGTTCTTTTCCCAAATAGACATCCAAATCCGAGAATACAAACGTGATATTACAACAGAGAAAGCCAGGGAGGGAAAGGACAGAGGGACAGAGGGAGGGAGAGAGTAGAGTAGAGCAGGGTAGAGAAAGCCGAGTAGAGAACAGAATAGAGAGAGTAGAGTAGAGAGAGTAGAGTAGAGCGAGCAGAGTAGAGAGAGCCAAGCAGAAAGAGCCGAGTTGAGAGAGCATAGTAGAGAAAGCAGAGTAGAGAGAGCACAGTAGAGAGAGCAGAACAGAGAGCCGAGTCGAAAGAGCACAGTAGAGAGCACAGTAGAGAGCAGGGCAGAATAGAGAGCAGAGTAGAGAAGCCGAGTAGAGAGAGCAGAGTAGAGAGAGCAGAGCACATCAAAAAAAAATTTTTATCACACAAAACAGAAGGAAAAAAAAACTGCCTGTGAGCATTCTGTTTTCAAGCCAAAATTCTCTCTCAGCACATTCACAAGCCAATTTGGTTTGGCTCTTGCTCTCTCGGTTAGACGACCTGGCTGACGTTACCTCTGGGTCTTGTCATTGTTTCAAGTTGTATCTCTGTATTTCCTTGTGTTTGTAAAGAAAACTCACCAAGCCTCCAGAGGCCATCTCTGAAATATTTTGTGACTGGATACTGCTCTCTGGATTTTCATCCTTCATCTCATCGCTCTCTGCGCCCCCCTCTCTCTCTCTCGGATCAAGGTCTGGTCGCGCGCCCCGCTCGACGTCGGGTGCGCCACCTTGTGCTGCGCCTCTCTCGGGCTCGGGTTTGCGCTTTTCACTGGGCAACTTCAAATGCAGCGTGTGCTCAACTTCTCTGGTTGGTGGCTGGTGAATGTATGGCCGCATTTAGGTTGATCTTGTACCACATTCCGAGCTTGATCTGTCCACGTTGCGTCGTGCCACCATGAAGTGGCTCCTGGCTTGTGCCGCGCTGGCTTTGCTTGCTGGCCTGGCCGCCAGCGACTCGCACAGCTACAAAGATGGCGATAAGGTGAGCCGTGCCTCCTGAGGTGACTCGTGCCCCCGCTTCTCTCTGCTGCCCTCGTTGTCTCGTGTCCCTGTCGTCTGCTTTTCGTCAGCCTCGGACGCTCAAGCTGACTTTCCAGCTCAACGCCCACGGACCGTCATCACATCTCAATCCATCACATCCAAAACCCCCCACCTCCCCCTTCTCCTCTTTTCCTACCGATGTGGCATAGCTTCCCGTGTATGTCAACAAGATCGGCCCTTACTTCAACAAGCAGGAAACCTATCATTACTACTCCCTCCCCGTGTGCCGCCCGGACAAGGTAAAGGCTCAAGCCAAACCCTCACTGCTTTGCTCGGCCTTCAAACAGTTCCGAGTCGATGCCTTCCCGCTCAATCAATGCCGTGTTTGTCAGATCAAGTCACGCGGCTTGACTCTAGGCGAAGTCCTGGACGGTGATCGCATGGCCGAAGCTCTGCACGATATCCGCTTCAAAGGTCCGCCTCTACCCCCAAGCTGGCAAAGCACCCGCTCAAGTGCACCAGCTCTCATCCACCTATGTCCGCAGAAAACAAGCGTGCCATCTTGTGCAAAGTTCAGCTCTCGCGCAAGGAGATCCAGCAGCTGACCGAAGCCATTGAAGATTTGTTCTATTTCGAGTTTGTTGTTGGTTCGTGGTCTCTCTCTTGCTCCCCATTAGCTCGCATCAGTCCACCCAGCTCCCACCTAGCTCCTACATTCCAAAAAGATTGCACCCGTGCTCATCAGCAATGCCCTGCACCTGGACCCTCCTCACTGTCACAGATGACTTGCCTGTCCGTGGGTTTTTGGGCCAACTTGAAGAGCACTTGCTGGACCTGCCCACGACCCACCGCGTCTTTCTCTGGCCCCACATGCACTTTCATCTCGAATACAACGGCGACCGCGTGAGTCAAGCCCCCTCGTCAGCTTTATGTGTGGCCGTTCAACTTGAGGGTATTACCATGCTCAGTCCCTCGCTTATCTCCCCGTTCCCGTCTGTTTTGCTCGACCAGGTCGTCAATGTTAATGTGACAGAGAAGCTCGAGGAGGTGGAACTGCCCTATCTCACCGAAGATGGTGATACCTTTGAGGTGACCTACACCTACAGTGTCACCTGGTCTGAAAATAAGCAGTCAGTTGATCCCCCCTTCTCTCGTCGGCGTCATCTGATCCCTTGCCTTCCTGTATCACACTGCACAAACTCACATCGGGCACGCTGCCTCAATTTTTTTTTCCCGTTTCTTTTTCACAGAATTCCCTTTAAGCTGCGTGGTTTTGCCAGCAAGCAATTCTTCCCAACCACTCTTGAGGTGCTTCTTGGCTCTTACGCTCGCCAGTGCAGACGCCCCTCCAAAGTCATTGGCTGAATGCAATCGTGCTTCTTCTCCCGTTGGGACTTGAACTAGATTCATTGGCTCTCGGTGATCAACTCGGCCGTTCTTGTGGTTCTCCTCCTGGCGTTTGTGGGCATTATCGTGGTATGCACTCTTGGACAAAGCCGCCCACGCTCGCTCCTGCTTGCAGGTTTCGATCCTGCACGCTCTCACTATCATGTCCCATGCAGGCGCGTGCCCTCAATCAGGATTTTGCCCGTTACTCGAAGAACAACATTGACGTCGACTTGAACGAAGGTCAGCCCGCCTTGGGCAGAGTCATTCATCTCCACGCCTTGGGTACCCCGGGTGATGGATGAAACTCGAGTGCAAGCACTTTCTTCTCACGTCGCTCACTCCCATGTTTGTAGACGTGAACGACGATCAGGGCTGGAAGATGATTCATGCCGATGTTTTCCGCTTCCCGGCCTACAAGAGCCTTCTCTGCGCCGTTGTTGGCAACGGCATGCAGTTTTTGACCGTGGCGTTTGCCGTCATTCTGCTTTCTTTGATGAACTGGTTTAACCGCCATCGTCATCACAGCATGACCACAGCCGTCATCGTCCTCTATATTCTTGCTGCTGCCGTCGCTGGATACAGTGCCAACCGTCTCTACACCCAAATGGGCGGCGAGGTTTGTTTGCCATCATCGCTCCTTCCGTCGCCTGCCCGCCCGCCAATTTTTTTCTGGCCACCGTGGGCCTGTGAAGTCTGAGCTTGACTCACCTCGAAATTCCTTGCGCAGGCCTGGGCCTGGAACATTGTTCTCACGGCGACTCTGTTTGTGGCCCCCTTCTTTGTGGGCTGGAGCCTCATCAACTCGGTGGCTTGGGCCCTTGGCTCAACACAGGCCCTTCCGGCGACCACTATCATCCTACTCCTGCTAATCTGGCTTCTCATTGGCTTCCCGCTCACCGTCGTTGGAGGCATTTTGGGCAAGAATTTCCCCGGTACGCCATCACCTCCAACGTTTCATGCCTTTTTCTTTCAGTTCCTTCCCCCTCACTGCGCTTGTCGCTTTTTTTTTTCTTTTTTTTAAATTTGTGTTTTTGTTTTTCCAAACTCGTATATGCAGGATCATTTGACAGCCCCTGCCGCACCAAGAACATTCCTCGCGAGATCCCACCAGCTCCCGTATATCGTTCATTGGGCGCGCAAATGCTCATTGGTGGCTTCTTGCCATTTAGCGCCATTTCGCTTGAGCTCTATTACATTTACGCCACCGTTTGGGGTCGTGAACACTACACCCTGTACGGTGTGCTGTTTCTCATCTTCACCATTCTGCTCACCGTCACGGCCTGTATCACTGTGGCGCTGACTTACTTCCAACTCAGCGGCGAGGATTATCGCTGGTGGTGGCGATCCGTGTTTGCCTCGGGGTAAGTCGGTTCATTGTTGCGAGGCTGTTGCTCTTCCAGTCGCTCTCTTCTCTGCTACCAAGCGGTGCCTGGCAGCGGTACTTGGTGCGTGCTCATGAACATTTTTTTCTTTTTCGACCTACTTCGTCCACAGGGCACCAGCTTTTTTCGTGCTGCTTTACTCCATGTACTACTATTATATACGCTCAAACATGTCTGGTACTCTGCAGGTATTTACCTCGATTTCATTTTTCTTTATCCAAGAGTTTCCTTCTGCTTGTGTAAAACATGTCACACCCCAGCTTTCGACTCACTCTGCTTGTTTTGATACTACTCTCTAGACGGTCCAGTTCTTTGGTTACACGGCGCTGGCCTGCTACGCCTTCTTCTTGATGCTGGCTGCTGTCGGCTTCAAGACGACTCTTCATTTTGTCAAGTACATTTATCAGAACGTCAAGTTGGACTAGGGGTTTACGTTTCCAACCTAGATGGCCGCCCTGCTTGATCAACTCAGCCAGCTCAAGCTTTCATTCCTGTGCTGTCAAGTCGGCTTGTCTTGTGTGGCCGACACCTTGAGGTTACTTGACTGTCTTCTTCCCCTTTCCCTCTACTTCCTCTCTCTTCAATTTCTTGACCTTCTCCTCGTGCGCGCTTGACTTTTTGCTTTTTGTCTAGTCAATGTCTTCATTTACCCTTGTGCCTAAGAGTGCGTTGCTTGTCATGCTTCCTGATCCCCGACGTTGGCATTTGTTTGGCTCTCACACGGGCAGGACGCCCCATCAATTGACGCAAGCAACTGAACAACAGATGGATCACCAACTCTTTTCAAAGGGTCACTCCAGTGCCGTCATGCTTGAACAGCTCCATGTTCCAGCGTGTTAATCGCAAACGTCCACGTCTGTGCAGTGGGCTCGTATGCCAACGATGTCAAGCCAGGGCTAGCCAGCAACGCCTGCTGAAACTCCTTGCTGCTCAAGGTGGGCGGCTGGGCAATATTTAGAAGCTGTACAATGGCTGGCAAGTCCTCCAGTATTGAGTCCAGCTCGATCTGGCCGGGGCCAAAATGCACTGCTGTCCGAAGGCTGATGTTGGCAGGAACGGGGCCCAGAAATTGCACGCTGCCAAACTCCGAACGCACAAACCCGACAGCCGACTCTGTCACCTTTGGTGCTGAGCAGAAGTGCGACTGTGACGTAGTTGACTCCATTTCCTCACCTGTCAGAGAGGCCCGCCTGGATGCGAGGAAGATTGGCTCAGGAGATGGCTCTTTTGGTTCAGAAGGGTGCAGCGCGGGCTGCGCAGCCCAGATATGCTCAACTAGGGTGTTGGTCGTTGAAGTTTCATTCAAGTCCGTAGCAGCCAGGGAAAGGTCAAACGTTTCCCGCACAGCCTGGCGTAGTTCCAACAAGGTCAAAGAGTCCATTCCAGCTTCGGCAAAGGACATGTCTGACTCAATATCATCTCCAACGAGGTCGGCCACCAACGCCACGACTTGCATGCAAACATCTGCGTGCGAGAGCTGATGGATCTGGTTTTGAGCCTCGCCAATCAAGCTGCTCGCACTGCTCGCGGCCTCGCTGGCACTCTGAAGGCTGTCCGAGCCTGATGAAACAGACAAAGACTGCGAAATTGCGGATGGACTGCGGTCATTCGAGCCGGGCTGCTCATTCAGCAGCTTTTCTGCGGTGGCCAGCAGCAAACGTGGGGTGATGCCTCCCGTGATGACAGCTGCTGACAAGGTGAAGCCAAGCGCTTCCGTCAAGGTTTGGCGCAGCTCCATAAGAGCCAAGCTGTCCAGCCCGACACTTTCGAGGGTATCATCCAGCGCGGGAAGCTCCCCTGCCACGTCTTGCAGAGCATCAAACACCACACCCTCAAGCTCACGCTTGTCCCATACGATGCTAGGCTTTTTCTCTGCTTTTGAGTGTTGTGTCGGTACCACCTGTTGTGGAGCGGTTGCTGAGGGCGATGCTGCCTGAGGTGGGCGCTGCGGCGCTGGCGTGCTGCGCAATAGGCGCTCCAAGTACTGTTTGTCGGCTGTGGCTCGCACCCGTCCACTCACGACGTTCCAGTCAAGCGGAGAAACCGCTATGGTCGTGCCTGGCCTTGCCGTCATGGCGGCGTCAAAGCCAGCGCGACCGATGGTAGATGTCACTTCGCCCAAGCCCAATCTTTTCAAGTGCACCGCGCTGTTTTTGCGTGCGGCCATCCCAACCTCAGCCCACGCACCCCACTGCACGCTCGCGCCCACTAGTCCCACACTAGCCCGCTCCTGAACTAGGTTGTCCAGCAGTGCATTGGCCAGACTGTAGTTGATTTGCCCTGGTGACGCCACGATGGCTGCTAAAGACGAGTAGGTCATGATGGTGGGTTGTGCGCTCTTGACTGCGAGAGTTGAGCGTCGAGCGGCGAGAAGGGTCCAATGCCAATGCCACAGACCACAGACCTTGGGGCGCATCACACGCTCGATATGGTCCATGGTAAGGTCTGGTAGTAACGCATCAGCCAGTACGCCAGCGCTATGAATCAGGCCCTGTACAGGCCCAATCGTGTGTTCCAGGGCACGCACTAGCGCCAGTACTTGCGGCAAACTGGACGTGTCACAACGAGCCACTGTCAAGCGCTTACTGTCAGTATATGCTTTCCTCAGCTCTGTCCAGCGCGCCGCACTGCGCTTTTCTACAGATCCTGATCTTGTCAGCAAGCACACATGTGCGGCACCGTACTCCAGTAACCATTCAGCTGTCAACAGACCCAGCGCACCGAGTCCACCCGTAATCACAAAAACTCGGCCACTCACAGCATTGTGCACGCGACGCGCGACGCAGATGTTGAGCGTGCCAGGACAGTGGTCCAAGCGCAGCGCATCTGCCCGGACCTTTCCATCGTCCAGCACTGTGAGCGATACGCTGCGCTCAGAGAGTGCATGGGGTCCCAAAGCGAGAGCAAAGCTCACCGCCGATAAACAGCTTTCCTCAGGAGATTTGGCCACAATGTGGACGTGCTGCCACTCAAGCTGCGGCTCGTGAATGGCTGCACTGCGTAAACCAGCGGCAGCCCACTGGGCTTGTGCAGGTCCGACAGTTACCCACAGCAGTTGTGAAACACCTCCCACGTGGCAGTACGCGGTGATCGCAGCCAACACGCGATGCAGCGAGGTACCATGTCGCCCCCATGTCAGAAGTACTATTTGCTTTACCGACTTGGGTTGTAAATCATGGGCGATGAGCGACTCGAGCAGCTGCATGTTGCCGTGCCAAGCCACCGGTACAGACGCCGCTAACTCGGGTTCCACCAAAAGCAGGGCGTCTTGTGGTGGTGCCATGCCTGCAATGCTGGGGCTGTCGGTGAGATGCAGTGGCTGCCACACTTGTTGCAAAGTCACGGGTGCTAGGGCGACCCGCTTGCTGTTGGTGACATCGTAGCTTCCAACCAGGACGCCGCGTAGACTGCACAGCCTTTGCTGCTCGCAGTCGTGCACGTCCACGTCGTATTTTCCGTCCTGTCGATACTGAATCGATACATTCAGGTCCAGCTCTGCACCACGAACAACGGGAGCCAGCCACCATTGCTCCCACCCTTGCACATAATGGGCGCGGTTGGTCATGTCCAGGCCCAATACTTGAGCGTCGAGAATAGCAATGGCATGAACGGTTGCATCAAGCCAGGCCACGGCGTGCGCATCACCGTGCGCATCCCCACAACCACCTCGAACAACTGCAAGGAGCCGTTCTCCGCAAACGACGGCCCTCAAAATGCCTTTGAAGGCGCCCTGATAGCGATTGTCCATGTAAGCGTACACGGCTTCGGGAGTAGGAAGCACCAGGTGGGGGTCCACAACAACCGATGCGCTTGTGCAGGCTTCCCAATCAAATGCTGCAGCGTGCGGCTGGAGTTTAGGCTGCGGTGAGCTGACAACACGGCCTTGCAGGTTTGAGGTCCAAGTTGCATGCTCGTCCATGCGAGTTGCCACGAGGACAGCCCCCGTGGACAAGTTGAGCTCGCAGCGCACGAAGATGGCCGACGTCTGCGCGTCAAAACGAATCATATGTTCAAGCTGGACGTCGTCAAAGCTGAAGCTGGCCTCGCCTAGCTCACGCACTGCACATCGCTGAGCAAAGAGGAGCAAAGCCGTCCCAGGCACGCACACTGTGGTATGGCCCACCACATGCTGCGCGAAGAAGTGCAGCAGGCGCGGGCCCCAACGCCCTTCATAGACCACCGGACTGGATGAAACGTTCTTGGCACGAGTCGGGCCGTCCATGGAGCGGTCTCCAGCAAACTCGTAATGCTCGTAGAAAGTGGGGAACCATCGGCGCTTGTACACGGCTGCAGCACTGGGTCGCCGCGGCACCCAGTCTGCTCCTCGACCCACGATGCAGTGCGCGTTGGCACCACCAAACCCAAACGAGTTTACACAGGCGTAAACTTGACCGTCCTTGCTGGCGTCGGGGAGAGCAAGGCCAACTCCGGGGCCGGGAAAAGCAACATCAAAATTGTCCATGGCAATGGACGGGTTGAGCTGCTGGAGGTGCAGATTGCCTGGCACGCGCCCTTGATTGAGGCAGAGCACGGCCTTGATCAAACCAGCGATGCCCGCAGCTCCTTCGGTATGGCCCATGTTGCTCTTTAGCGCGCCCAGCACAAGAGGCTGGGTGCGATCTGCGTCATCACCAAAGACAGCACGCAGAGCCCCTGTCTCGATGGGATCTCCCAACGCCGTACCTGTGCCGTGCGTCTCGACATAGGCCACGTCAGTGGGCTCCAAACCAGCTTTTTCGAGAGCATCTCGGATCACTTCCTGCTGTGCTGGTCCTCGCGGTGCGGTCAGGCCCGCACTTCGCCCATCCTGGTTAAGCGCCGTGCTGGCCAACTCGGCGTAGACGCGGTCATCCTGAGAGAGCAGTGCAGGGGCCATGCGCTCCAGCACCAGGGCCCCAACGCCCTCACCCCGCACGTAGCCGTTGGCGCTGGCATCAAAGGATCGACAGCGCGCATCGGGAGAAAGCATGCGTGCCTTGCACGTGAGCTCAAACATGGTCGAGGAAAGAAACATGTTAATACCAGCCACGACGGCCACGTCACAGTCTTGCAAGCACTGTGCGGCCCCGTGCAGGCCAACCAGCGCGCTCGAGCAGGCTGTATCGATAGTCATGCTCGGACCCCGAAAATCAAAGACGTAGGAAAGACGATTGGACAGGATGGCGCGCGAGCCTCCCGTGGCCAGCAGGGCGCTGGCGACTCGCTTCAACGCCCAGACGTAGTCGAGTGTCATGCAACCAACATAGACGCCCACTCGCCGTCCGCGAAGCTGCTCACGCGTGTAGCCAGCATCAATCAGAGCATCATTGCACACCTCGAGCAGTAAACGCTGCTGGGGGTCCATGACGGCGGCCTCGGCATTGGACAGGCCAAAGGCTCGTGCATCAAAGGTGTCAATGTTCTCCAACACGGAAGCCGACTTGACGTACACACTATTGGGAACTTCTGGGTTTGGGTTGAACTTGCCCTCCACGTCAAACCGCTCCAAGGGAATAGGACTAATGCAATCGCGACCAGACTCCAGCACCTTCCAAAACCGGTCCAAGCCCGTGGCTCCGCCAGGGAAACGGCATCCAAGACCGGTGATTGCAATGGCGTAGTCGCGCCCTGGTCGATGAAAAGACACGCTTAGACCGGCCGACGGCTGTATGGGCCGAGGGGTGGTCAGACTCGACACTTCGGCGCCCTCGGACGTCAAGCTATGGCAAGCCACGATGTGCTGAGCCAGAGCGCGAGGTGACGGATAATCAAACAGAACGTGGCTGGCCAAGGAGAGGCCCAAAGTTTGGTTGAGTGCCTGGCGTACTTCGATCAATACCAAGCTATCCAAGCCGCTTTCCATAAAAGGATCGTCCAAGGCCAAGTCGAGGGCAGCGACGTTGGAGACCACCTGCACCACCTGCGAGCTCACATCCTCTTCACTCCAAGCGCGAGCCTGGGCTTGGGGTGCCGACTCTAATGGACTCGTCCCTACACTCTCAGTCGTTGAGGGGCTAGTTTGTGATGCTAGAAGCGAGATGCAGAGCGTGCTAGGAATGGCAGGTCGATTCGCCGTCTCTGCCTGACACGCGCGCGCCATGAGATGTAGCGCTAGGGCTAGAGCAGCTTGCCCCTGTTCATCGGATACAGCACCAATGCCTTGCTGTGCAAAGCGGGCGAGTGCACGCGCCTCGCGCGAGGCCATACCGCCCTCAGCCCAGGGACCCCACTGCAGCGCAAGGCCAAACAGGCCCACGTTGCAGCGCGCTTCCATCATCTCGTCCATGTAGGCGTTGGCGTAGGCATAGTTGGCTTGGCCAGCCGCGCCAAAGCAAGCCGTGACTGACGAATACGCCACGATAGGTACTCGAACTCCCAAGTACAGCGCCAAGCCATGAAGATGGGCCAGACCCTGCTGCTTGGGCGCAGCTGTGGCTCGCCAGTCGCGTGGTTGCAAAGACATGAAGGTTCCATCTTGCAGGACCCCAGCAGTGTGGAGGATGGCTGTCAGACGGCTGTGGGGCAGAGTTTGAAGCTCGGCACGAACGACGCGGCCCAAAGCCAACACGTGAGCAGCATTGCTCACATCTGCGCAAGCAATGCGCAAGCGGGTCCGCTGGCCTGCGTGGCGCTGGATGGCGGTCCACGTGGCGGCATCAGCCTGCCGTATCCGTGCCTGACGCCCCACAAGGACAATAAGCGCAGGGTCTTGCGTGGTCAGCAGCTGCAGCACTGCGCGCAGGCCAAGACCACCCAATCCGCCCGTCACAACAAAGGCGGTCCGAGTCACGGCGGGGGTATCGCTCACGGGCATGATGGCCCAGAGTCGCTGAGTTGATGGCGAGATGCGCTGCTGCATCCGACGCCAGAAACTTCCGTTGCTGAGGACACAGGAATTCGTGCCTGGCTGACTCAGCGCAAGTTGGAGGATAGATCGACACGCAGCGGCACGGTCGCTGCCACTTTCAGCATCAGCAATATGCACGTGGATTACTGGAGCCAGTGTTGACGTCTCGAGAGCAAGGGTTTGCACCAAGGCCGCTTCTGCGTGGCCATCAGACCATGCAGGGATCGCTGTGGTGTTGTTTGACTCAGACACTGTGAGCCAGAGAACGCGCGCTTGATCACCACGGCGCTGAAGACCTTGCAAGCGCTCCACAAATTGCGCCACAGCTGCCTGATTCCCGGCCCTCGACGCAAACACATGCAGTTGACGACCGCGCCCTGAACCGGTGGCTGCCTGACATACAGCGCCACACCAACTGGCTACATCATCCTTGCTTGTTGCATGCACAGAGGCGGCGTGATCCGTCGCAATTCGCTCCGGCATCAGGATCGTGCCTTGACACACGCAAGCGAGGTTGGCTGCAGAAGAGCTGGTGGACATTGTCCAAGGCTTGAGCTGGGTTTGAGTCAACAAACCGTCAAGGACAGGGTGGGCCAAAGATGCCGTCTGAGCACTACCAGCCGGTAGCTTCACACCGCGCCAGCTGACCAGGAGATCACCATACACGTTCCAAGCGGTAATATCAAACACCGGCTGACTGGAGCTGGCACGCACAGCCCGGCAGAAAACGCCGTGTCGAAGGCTTGCCCAGCTGTGCAACTGGAGGCTTTGCCAGCCTTGCACGTAGCGTGGCGCTGCACGAACACCGGCTTTGCTTTTGGCAAGCATGTGAAGGGGGCCATGTAGCAGGGCGTCCAGAGTAGCGACGATGGCGTGCTGCTCCCCGACCGCGGAGGAAGGTTGAATATGCGTAAGCACGCTGTCAGACTCCGCACGGCTCATCATCATGACACCGGCGTGCACCGCGACAAAGGCGCCCTTGTATGCGTTGCCCAGCGTTGTATAAAGCTCGGGCCCTTTGAAGCGTATTCCATGCCCTACGGTGTGCATTGCAGCCCACGCATCGAAAGACTGCGCGGAGGTCAGGACGCGCGGACCTTCGTGTACGGTAGTCGATGCATCACGGGATGGCTTGGTCAGACGGCACGCAAAGTGATGCGCCAAGACGGCGCCGTTAGCGTCCACTGCATCAAGGGTTGCGCGCGTGTTGTCGTGCACGGTTAGTTGCAGCCACAGCCGGGCTGCTGGGCCCGAAGGCACGAGCATCACGTTGAGAAGCTGGGCCTCCGTGAGCTCGACGGTGGGGCAGTGCCAGGCTTCGCGCACCAGGTGATCGACTAGACCAGCCATGGCAGTGGCTGGTACGCAAGCCAGTTGAGACCCGAGGACATGCGAGGCAAGAAATTGACACTCAGATCTGTTCCACACCACGCGAACCGACCACGTCGAGGCCTGCGTCCGCAAGGCCTGGTTGGTTGTGAGCAGTCCAGATCCTTCAAAGGTGCGCACCGGTACTGGGTGGTACGTCTGCGCCCGATGCTGTGTTCGGTGGGGTCCGTGGGAGGGCGTGCTTACAATAGCATGGGCATTGGTTCCACCAAAGCCAAAGGAACTAATTCCGGCGTGCCAGCGAACGGGCTTGCTGGGCAGCGGTGCAAACACGCCGGGGCCTGAGAGAGTGATGGCTGAGGCCAGACCAAGGTGGGGGTTCAAGCTCGTGGCATGGCTAGGGTCCATGTGCAGGTTGCCAGGCACGCGGCCATGATTGAGGCTGAGCACGGCCTTGATGACACCCGCCAGGCCGGCAGCTCCCTCCAGATGCCCAATGTTCGACTTGACGGCGCCCAGCACGAGGTGACGAGGCCCTGTAGCTGCGTCAGCGGCGTTGTTGCTCGGTTCACTCAAGCAAAGTGCTCTCTGAATGGCCTGCACCTCGACGGGATCACCAAGAGCAGTGCCAGTACCATGGGCTTCGATATAATTCAGCTCCTCAGGGCGCAGGGCCGCGGTTGCCATGGCCTCGGTGATGAGGGCTTCTTGAGCGGCCCCACTGGGAGCAGTCAGCGATTGCGTGCGACCATCCTGGTTGATAGCCGTGGCATCAAGTTGAGCGTAGACCGCATCAGAGCTGGCACGGTCAGCGGGCTCCAAAATCAATGCTGCCACGCCCTCGCCTCGACCATAGCCATCAGCTGTCGCGGCAAAGGTCTTGCACCGCCCGTCAGTCGCCAGCATGCCAGCACGGCAGGCGGCAATAAAAAAGTCGGGGCCCAGCAAGAGGTTGCTAGCAGCCACAATGGCCAGGTCAATCTCATGGCAATCCAAGGCGCGGCGGGCCAAATGCAAGGCCACCAGCGAGCTCGAGCAAGCCGTATCCACGCTCAGGCTCGGACCACTGAGACCCAGCCAGAAGGAGAGGCGATTGGCATGAATGGCACGGCCCGCCCCTGTGGCGCGAAATGCCGAAGTCTGACCGTCAGAGGGCTGTGCGGTCCAATCGCTGTGGGTAACCCCCACGTACACACCCACTCGGCGCCCAGCGAGCTGGGTGCGGTCGTACCCGGCATCAACGAGGGCCGAGTAGCACTGGTGTAGCAATAAGCGCTGCTGAGGGTCCATATCCTCTGCCTCGCGCGGGGACACGTTGAAAAAAGCCGCATCAAAGAGATTAGCGCCTTCAAGCAATCCTGCGGCTTGCACGGGCATGTGCCGGGGATCGTGGGCTGGAAGTTGACGCAGCTCCTGGGCCGCAAAGCGCTCCTCTGGAATGGGTGTAACGCCATCCTGTCCACGGGCCAGGTGCTCCCAGAAAGCGACAAGGTTATCGCAACCGGCTGGGAAGTGACACGCCATGCCCGAGATGACGAGAGCCTCACACTGCGGCTGTCTGGGCACGGAAGGGCCTGGATTAGTGGGCATCGTGGTGGGCTGGGAAGAGAGCCGACGGTTGATGGCCAAGGCTAGACTTTGAGCCGTGGGATGGTCGTAGGCCACGGAGATGGGGAGCGTTACAGCAAAGCGTGTCTGCAGACGGGCATGCAGTTCGACAGCCTCCCGACTCGAGAGGCCAAGCTCTGCAAGAGGGGTATCGGGATTCAGACGTGCCCCATGTGTAAAGCGCATCAGCTCGGCCAGCAGATCTGAAAGCAGCGGAGAGTCAGGGTTCGAGACGGTCGCTAAAGGCCAGCCCGCAGCAGTGACTGGCCCGCGTATGTGGCGGCTCTGCCAGGCAGCTTGGGCCACGCGGCGAGCCGTCCAAGCTGCCAAGCCGGTGACGGGCTCCAAAAACTCGTCCGTCTGTGGCTCCAACGCCTGAGGGTGGCGCTCTGCTCGCACAAGCATAAAGCGAAGAGCTTGGAGAGGGTCGGGAAAAGCTTGTGGCTGTGCCTGCACGCGCGACCAGGCCAGGCTGGGGACCAGAGCTACGGGCCATGGGCACTGTAAAATCGCGGCAAGACCAGCTGCCACCTGGCCTGCCTGGTCGCGCATTGACTTTGGGTCAAAACTGGCATCTTCTTCTAGCCCGAGAACAAGTGGCTTTGAGTCGGCAGCTGCAGTCGATGACGCGTATACGAGCTCAAACTGTCGGCCCGTCACCTGAGTGGCCAGGGCCGGAGCTAAAAGAGTCCAGAGGGCGTCGCAGCTGCATGGGATCAGGTTCTCGGCCAGGTTTGGCTGAGCACCAAGTAGCGTGGCAGCGAGGCGAAGCCCCAGCGGGAGAGGCTCACTGGTGGCTTGAAGTATGCCATGCACGAGGTGACCCATGCCTTCCTGCTGTAATAGAAGGCAGGCTGCATGGACCTGTGGAGCAGTCACGACATGCTGAGCTTCAGGCTCGGTCTCGGCCACGGTCGCGATGACGACTTGGGACGAGCCTAGCGTGTGTGCACAAGGGTGACAGAGACGATGATTAGTTGGAACAGACACGGGACGCAAAGACTAAAGCAGCGATGTGTGCGTACCTGGTTGAGCCGAGGTGAAAGCCGCGAGCTGAAGGGCTTGGGAGAGGTCTGAGAATGAGGCGTTTGCGGGTAAAAGAACACGGTTATCAGGCGCCGTTGTTAGGGCTGGACTAGCCCGGGCTGGAAGCCAGGGAGGAGCATGGTGCTGAAGCAGCGCGGCCCACGCCATGATCTGGGTTGGCCGGATGCAGCTGATGCAGATGAGCTGCGAGGAAGGAAAATGCCCGCCGAACTGGCCAGCTAGCGAGTTGAGCGAACCGACAAGAAAGGGCACGTGATGGGGGATCAGCCAGTAGCAGAGTTGAAGGCTTCTTCTTTTGTTCACCTTTGCTCGCTCCGATCCCGTGCCGCAATTCACGCCACAACAGTCTGAAGATGTGTGGAGAGCCGGGGTGTCGAACATGCCATTGCTTCCGGTTGTTTTCCGTGCCTCTCACACCAAAGGCTGGAAGGTCCCCGCACCGTGATTCCTTGTCCCTTTGCGCCATGTTGACGGCAACCGATCATCAATGTAACTGCCCCTGCCCCTCCCAGCCACGGTCTGCCCTCTATCTATTGTGCAGGTTTGAGGTTTGAGCCCGTTCCCCGTACATCACGGGCTCTGCTCAAACTCGAGTTCCATGACGTCAAAATGTCTGTAGCCATGACAGTCTTTGATACAGTTTTTTTGTCGAAACAATCTTTAGGACAGAATTTTTCAGTTTTGGGCGAACAAAAGAATGAAATCTAAACTCTGTGTGTGTATGTGTGTCTGTGTCTGTGTCTGTGTCTGTGTGTCTGTGTGTGCGCGTGTGTGTGTGTCTGTGTCTGTGTGTGTGTCTGTGTCTGTCTGTCTGTGTCTGTCTGTCTGTGTCTGTCTGTCTGTCTGTGTCTGTGTCTGTGTGTGTGTCTGTGTGTGTGTGTCTGTGTGTGTGTCTGTGTATGTGTCTGTGTCTGTATCTATGTGTCTGTCTGTCTGTCTGCCTCTCTGTCTGTCTGTCTGTCTGCCTCTCTGTCTGTCTCTCTGTCTGTCTCTCTGTCTCTGTCTCTCTGTCTGTGCACGTGTGCCGGTGCCGGTGCCCGTGCCCGTGCCACTGTGTCTGTGTCCGTCTGCGTCTGTCTGCTTGTATGTCTGTGTGCCTTTGTGTCTGTGCTTGCTATATCTATGCTTGTATGATCTGTGTTTTCTGGTGATTAAAAGCATTTGATGAGGGTTGAAGATGATGCCGAAGAGGTTTATGTATTATCAGTAATACAAGTCGTTGAAGTTGTTGAATGAGATATTCAGGTTTGTGCCGGACGCCTCGTGGCGTTTGCTTAGAGTCCGCTCGTACTTTTTCATCTCGTCGGACTGCTTGCGTGTGGGGTGGCTGCTCCGTTTGGTGAGGTGTGTGCCATTTTTTTTCTCGGCCATCGCTTGTCTGTCGGTAAAGACCGACAGCTGTTCTACTTGGTTTGAATTGTGTTGCCACGACGTCGCATCGATCAAGGGGGTACTGCACACAACAGTGGCACCATTTGCCATCAACGTGAAATCCCTCTTGCCTTCTGCACGGCTCATCAAGAACGCGTTTGGAGCCTCGGAGCAATTTGGTTCTCCAGAGCAATCGCAGCCCACGGTCAGTCATTCACAGAGAGACAGTGGGCAGCACCCACCAGCGCCCGCCCGCCCTGCTGTCGCCTAGGCTGCCCTTTCGGATCGAAAAGTGTCAGGTCGCTTGAGTGCAACCATTCAGACATGGTATTTTACATTTGGCGGTGATATCGGCAGAAGGCACCGCTACCATGCGCGACGATGGAAGGGACCTGTATGAGGCGTGTTGGTCTTACGATCCACAAGAGGCGCTGCAGCTGTTGAACAGTTGGGACCCACAACGTATTCGAGATGCTGCTGCTGCTAAAGATGGGGTATGTCTGCTGTTTGGGCGAACGAGATATTTGATAAAGTTCTTTGAATAAAACAAAGCTAATGATATTATGCATTTTCCAACAGTATGGCGATACACCAGTGCACTGGGCCTACCGCAACGGTCATGCCAAGGTGGTGGAGATACTGTTGAAGCACGGTGTTGATGCTGAAGCCAAGGACAAGGTCAGTACTTTCCACTCTCTCCCTTGCCCCTTCATGTTGGTACTGGATTTGTACGTGATGCTGATGCATAACCCACAGTATGGCATTGCACCACTACACTATGCCTGCCGAAACGGTCATGCCAAGGTGGTGGAGATGCTGTTGAAGCACGGCGTTTATACCCGAGACAGGAACGACGTCAGTACAGTACCTCCCTCTCCCTATGCCCCTGCTCAGCCCCCCATGAGCGTGCAACTGTACCATATGATGATGAAACTGAATCGTTTGCGTGATATCTGATGCATCATCTGACAGGGTGGCAAGACGCCACTGCATTGCGCCTGCCGAAACGGTCATGCCAAGGTGGTGGAGATGCTGTTGAAGCACGGCGTTTATGTTAACGCCACGGACAACGTCAGTACATTACCTCCCTCTACCCCCACTCAACCCCCATATGATGGTGCGCAACTACATCACATGATAATGAAACTGCATGGTTTGCGTGATGCCTGATGCATCATCCCCTAGGATGACGAGACGCCAGTGCATTACGCCTGCAGAGGTGGCTATGTGGAGATGGTGGAGATGCTGTTGAACCACGACGTTAATGCTAACGCCAAGAACAACGTCAGTGCAGTACCTCCCTCTCCCTATGCCCCGCTCGGGCCCCTATGATGGTGCACCTGTACCATATGATGATGAAAATGCATCGTTTGCGTGATGTCTGATGCATCATCTGACAGGGTGGCGAGACGCCACTGCATTGCGCCTGCGCAAATCGTCATGTCAAGATGGTGGAGATGCTGTTGAAGCACGACGTTTATGCCGAACGCCAGGACAACGTCAGTACAGTACCTCTCTCTCCCTATGCCCCCGCTCAGCCCCCTATGATGGCGCATCTGTACCATATGATGATGATGAGATGCATCGTTTGCGTGATGTCTGATGTATCATCTGACAGCGTGGCGACACGCCACTGCATAACGCCTGCAGTCGTGGCTATGTGGAGATGGTGGAGATGTTGTTGAACCACGACGTTGATGCTAACGCCAAGGACAACGTCAGTACAGTACCTCCCTCTCCCTATGTCCCCGCTCGAAGCTCCTTACGATGGTACACCTGTACCATATGATGATGAAAATGCATCGTTTGCGTGATGTCGTTGCATCGACAGGGTGGCGAGACGCCACTGCATTGCGCCTGTAGTTATGGCTATGTGGAGATGGTGAAGATGCTGTTGAAGCACGACGTTGATGCTAACGCTAAGAGCAAGGTCAGTGCAGTACCTCCCTCTCCCTATGTCCCCGCTCAGCCCCCTATGATGGTGCACCTGTACCACACGATGATGATGAAACTGCATCGTTTGCGTGATGCCTGATGCATCATCCCCTAGAAAGACGAGACGCCACTGCATTGTGCCTGTAGAGGTGGTCATGTCAAGGTGGTGGAGATACTGTTGAAGCACGGTGTTGATGCTGAAGCCAAGGACAAGGTCAGTACTTTCCACTCTCTCCCTTGCCCCTTCATGTTGGTACTGGATTTGTACGTGATGCTGATGCATAACCCGCAGTATGGCATTGAACCACTACACTATGCCTGCCGAAACGGTCATGCCAAGGCGGTGGAGATGCTGTTGCAGCACGGCGTTTATGTTAACGCCACGGACAAGGTCAATACAGTACCTCCTTCTGCCCCCGCTCGGCCCCCTATGATGATGCACCTGTACCACACGATGATGATGATGCTGCATGGTTTGCGTGATGCCTGATGCATCATCCCATAGGATGACGAGACGCCACTGCATTGCGCCTGTAGTCATGGCTATGTGGAGGTGGTGGAGATATTGTTGAAGCACGGCGTTGATGCTAAAGCCAAGGACAACGTCAGTATACTACCCCCACCTCCCTATGCCCGCTCGAAGCCCATTACAGTAGTACACCTGTATCATATGTTGATGAAACTGCATCGTTTGCGTGATCATCCCATAGGGTGGCAAGACGCCACTGCATTGTGCCTGCAAAACGATACGGTATTTTTCCCGTAGTGCGCGCCATGTGGAGATGGTGGAGATGCTTTTGAAGCATGGCGTTGATGCCAACGCCAAGGACAACGTCAGTACACTACCTCCAACTCTCTCTGCGCCCGCTTTTAGCCCCTTATGATGGTGCACCTGTACCACATGATGATGATGCTGCTATTTTTGCATGATGCCCGATGCATCGTCCGATAGGATGGCGAGACGCCACTGCATTGTGCCTGCAGTTATGGCAATGTGGAGATGGTGGAGATGTTGTTGAAGCACGACGTTGATGCTAACGCCAAGGACAAGGTCAGTGCAGTACCTCCCTCTCTTTTTGCCCCCGCTCGGGCCCCTATGATGGTGCACCTGTACTTTATGATGATGCTGCTGCATTTGCGTGATGCCTGATGCATCATCGAAAAGGGTGGCGAGACGCCACTGCGTTGCGCCTGTAGAGGTGGCTTTGTCAAGGTGCAGGAGATGCTGTTGAAGCACGACGTTGATGCTCAAGCCAAGAACAAGGTCAATCTCTTCCTCTCCCACTCCTCATCCTATTTCTTCTTCTCGACCCTTGGGCGTTGCTCCACACTACGGCCCACCCTGCTCGCCCGTCCCACCTCCTGCTCCTTTCTTTCTTTCGTGCTACGCGTTTTCCTCTGCCCTTTTTCGTTTCTGCATACTGCGCGTCTTGTGCGTGGTCCATGCTTCTTGTATATTCTGCCTACCCACCTCA